ACGAAGAAAAAAGGAACCCCTGCACTAGAGAGCAATATATGTTGGGTCATGGGTCACTTGTCAAATCAAATCAAAAAATGTTGGTCACATGCGCCGAATACAACAGGTGCAGACATTACAGTGAAATGCTTACTTACAGCCCTTAACCAACAGTTCATTTATTTTTAACAAAAAAGTAAAAATAAAACAACAACAAAAAAAGTGTTGAGAAAAAAAAGAGCAGAAGTAAAATAAAATAACAGTAGGGAGGCTATATATACAGGGGGGTACCGGTGCAGAGTCAATGTGCGGGGGCACCAGCTAGTTGAGGTAGTTGAAGTAATATGTACATGTGGGTAGAGTTAAAGTGACTATGCATAAATAATTGACAGATAGCAGCAGCGTAAAAAGGATGGGGTGGGGGGGCAGTGCAAATAGTCCGGGTAAATGATTAGCTGTTCAGGTGTCTTATGGCTTGGGGGGTAGAAGCTGTTGAGAAGTCTTTGGACCTAGACTTGGCACTCCGGTACCGCTTGCCGTGGGGTAGCAGAGAGAACAGTCTATGACTAGGGTGGCTGGAGTCTTTGACAATTTTGAGGGCCTTCCTCTGACACCACCTGGTATAGAGGTCCTGGATGGCAGGAAGCTTGGCCCCAGTGATGTACTGGGCCGTACGCACTACCCTCTGTAGTGCCTTGCGGTCGGAGGCCAAGCAGTTGCCATACCAGGTGGTGATGCAACCAGTCAGGATGCTCTCGATGGTGCAGCTGTAGAATTTTTTGAGGATCTGAGGACCCATGCCAAATCTTTTCAGTCTCCTGAGGGGGAATAGGCTTTGTCGTGCCCTCTTCACGACTGTCTTGGTGTGTTTGGACCATGATCGTTCGTTGGTGATGTGGAAACCAAGGAACTTAAAGCTCTCAACCTGTTCCACTACAGCCCTGTCGATGAGAATGGGGGCGTGCTCAGTCCTCTTTTTTTTCCTGTAGTCCACAATCATCTCCTTTGTCTTGGTCACGTTGAGAGAGAGGTTGTTGTCCTGGCACCACACGGCCAGGTCCTCTGACCTCCTCCCTATAGGCTGTCTCATCGTTGTCGGTGATCAGGCCTACCACTGTTGTGTCGTCGGCAAACTTAATGATGGTGTTGGAGTCGTGCCTGGCCATGCAGTCATGGGTGAACAGAGAGTACAGGAGGGGACTGGGCACGCACCCCTGAGGGGCCCCCGTGTTGAGGATCAGTGTGGCAGATGTGTTGTTACCTACCCTTACCACCTGGGGGGCGGCCCGTCAGGAAGTTCAGGATCCAGTTGCAGAGGGAGGTGTTTAGTCCCAGGATCCTTAGCTTAGTGATGAGCTTAGAGGGCACTATGGTGTTGAATGCTGAGCTGTAGTCAATGAATAGCATTCTCACGTAGGTGTTCCTCTTGTCCAGGTGGGAAAGGGAAGTGTGGAGTGCAATAGAGATTGCATCATCTGTGGATCTGTTGGGGCGGTATGCAAATTGGAGTGGGTCTAGGGTTTCTGGGATAATGCTGTTGATGTGAGCCATGACCAGTCTTTCAAAGCACTTCATGGCTACAGACGTCAGTGCTACGGGTTGGTAGTCATTTAGGCAGGTTATCTTAGAGTCCTTGGGCACGGGGACTATGGTGGTCTGCTTGAAACATGTTGGTATTACAGACTCAGTCAGGGACATGTTGAAAATGTCAGTGAAGACACTTGCCAGTTGGTCAGCACATGCTCGGAGTACACGTCCTGGTAATCCATCTGGCCCTGCGGCCTTGTGAATGTTGACCTGCTTAAAAGTCTTACTCACATCGGCTACGGAGAGCGTGATCACATAGTCATCCGGAACAGCTGGTGCTCTCATGCATGTTTCAGTGTTGCTTGCCTCGAAGCGAGCATAGAAGTGGTTTAGCTCGTCTGGTAGGCTTGTGTCACTGGGCAGCTCGCGGCTGTGCTTCCCTTTATAGTCTGTAATAGTTTTCAAGCCCTGCCACATCCGACGAGCGTCAGAGCCAGTGTAGTACGATTCAATCTTAGTCCTGTATTGACTCTTTGCCTGTTTGATGGTTCGTCGGAGGGCATAGCGGGATTTCTTATAAGCGTCCGGATTAGAGTCCCGTTCCTTGAAAGCGGCAGCTCTACCCTTTAGCTCAGTGCGGATGTTTCCTGTAATCCATGGCTTCTGGTTGGGGTATGTACGTACGGTCACTGTGGGGACGACATCATCGATGCACTTATTGATGAAGCCAGTGACTGATGTGGTGTACTCCTCAATGCTGTCTGAAGAATCCCGGAACATGTTGCAGTCTATGCTAGCAAAACAGTCCTGTAGCTTAGCATCTGCGTCATCTGACCACTTTTTTATTAACCGAGTCACTGGTGCTTCCTGCTTTAGTTTTTGCTTATAAGCAGGAATCAGGAGGATAGAGTTATGGTTAGATTTGCCAAATGGAGGGCGAGGGAGAGCTTTGTATGCGTCTCTGTGTGTGGAGTAAAGGTGGTCTAGAGTTTTTTTTTCCTCTGGTTTCACATTTAACATGCTGGTAGAAATTAGGTAGAACTGATTTAAGTTTCCCTGCATTAAAGTCCCCCGGCCACTAGGAGCGCTGCATCTGGATGAGCGTTTTCCTGTTGATTTATGGCCTTGTACAACTCATTCAGTGCAATATTAATGCCAGCATTGGTTTGTGGTGGTAAATAGACAGCTATGAAAATATATAGATGAAAACTCTCTTGGTAAATAGTGTGGTCTACAGCTTATCATAAGATACTCTACCTCAGGCGAGCAAAACCTCGAGACTTCCTTAGTATTTGATTTTGTGCACCAGCTGTTGTTTACAAATATACTCAGACCGCCACCCCTTGTCTTACCGGAGTCAGCCGTTCTATCCAGCCGATGTAGCGTATATCCCACTAGCTGCATGTTATCCATGTCGTCGTTCAGCCACGACTCGGTGAAACATAAGATATTACAGTTTTTAATGTCCCGTTGGTAGGATAACCGTAATCTTAGGTCATCCAATTTGTTATCCAATGATTGAAGATTGGCTAATGGGATTGATGGAAGAGGCAGTTTACTCGCTCGCCGTCGGATCCTTACAAGGCACCCCGATCTACGTCCACGATATCTCCGTCTCTTCCTCACGCGAATGACGGGGATTTGGGCCTTGTCGGGTGTCTGTATGATATCCTTCGCTGCCCGCCTCGTTGAAGAAAAATCTTCGCCCAATACGAGGTGAGTAATCGCTGTCCTGATATCCAGAAGCTCTTTTTGGATATAAGAGACGATGGCAGAAACATTATGTACAAAATAAATTACAAATAACGCGGAAAAAACACACATAATAGTACAAATGGTTAGAGGGCTGTAAAACGGCAGCCATCTTCTCCGGCGCTGTTCCAATTAAGGTTCACATAAAAGCACACAGGTGACAAGGAAGTGGAATGCTTCCTGTGTGAGAATACTATTCATTGACTACAGCTCAGCGTTCAACACCATAGTACACTCAAAGCTCATCACTAAGCTAAGGACCCTGGGACTAAACACGTGCTCAGTCCCCTCCTGTACTCCCTGTTCACCCATGACTGCATGGCCAGGCACGACTCCAACACATCATTAAGTTTGCCGATGACACAACAGTGGTAGGCCTGATCACCGACAACGATGAGATAGCCTATAGAGAGGAGGTCAGAGAGCTGGCCTTGTGGTGCCAGGATAACAACCTCTCCCTCAACATGATCAAGACAAAGGAGATGATTGTGGACTACAGGGAAAAAAAGAGGACTGAGCACGCCCCCATTCTCATCGACGGGGCTGTAGTGGAACAGGTTGAGAGCTTCAAGTTCCTTGGTGTCCACATCACCAATGAACTATCATGGTCCAAACACACCAAGACAGTCGTGAAGAGGGCACGACAAAGCCTATTCCCCCTCAGGAGACTGAAAAGATTTGGCATGGGTCCTCAGATCCTCAAAAGGTTCTACAGCTGCACCATCGAGAGCATCCTGACTGGTTGCAACACTGCCTGGTATGGCAACTGCTTGGCCTCCGACCGCAAGGCACTACAGAGGGTAGTGCGTCCGGCCCAGTACATCACTGGGGCCAAGCTTCCTGCAATCCAGGACCTCTATACCAGGCGGTGTCAGAGGAAGGGCCTAAAAAATGTCAAAGACTCCAGCCACCCTAGTCATAGACTGTTCTCTCTGCTACCGCACGGCAAGCAGTACCGGAGCGTCAGGTCTATGTCCAAAAGGCTTCTTAACAGCTTCTACCTCAAGCCAAAAGACTCCTGAACAGATAATCATGGCTACCCAGACTATTTGCATTGTCCCCCCCACCCCACCCCTTCTTTACGCTGCTGCTACTCTCTGTTTATTATCTATGCATAGTCACTTTAACTCTACCCATATGTACATATTACCTCAATTACCTCAACTAACCTGTGCCCCCGCACATTGACTCTGTACCGGGGATTTGATTTGATTTGAAATGCACAGGTATGGAGAGCAGAAGTTATTAAAGGAATACTATGCAATAATATTGAATTTCCTTTACTTTCCTGCAACACATCTGACTGAAACAGTTTTGAATGAGTTTCTTTGGATTCCTTATTTTATTGGAGAACTACAGGTGTTTCTGTGGATTTGAGGAACTGCTGAACACTGTTGATTTAGATGGTTCTGGGTAGAATACTGCCTCCTAGTAGTACTGCCTCTTATTGGAATTGTCGCCGATTCCAAAGTAGAGGTCATCTTTTGAATAACAGGTGGTCTAGCAGTTGGTCTGACATTGGTCTATAGCAGTCACCGCCGATGCCAACAGCACATCTATGTCTGTTTTGGCGTGTTTCTCGAATCCCAGCCCCACCGCTCTTCCTCTCTGTCCTGTCTATCTCCTCCTCCTTTCTGTCTGTCTGTCTATCTGTCTGTCCTGTCCTCTCTGTTCAATCAAAAAGAGTGGTAATTTCCAGACAGACCCAGGTCCCTTGGTACATCACACCACAGATCGCTTCACGTAGCCGGCCAGTTCAGTGCCCTTGAGCCGGTGCTTGGTGGATTCATAGACCCCCCCCGTCTAGAGCTCTTGGAGGAGAGCTTGGCACAGATCTTGCTGTGTTTCTCCAGGCGGCTAGGATCAAAGCACCGGCCGCAGTGCTCACACGGCTTCAAATCTATGTTTTGTTACCACCTGAATGAAGGAATGAATTTGTTTATTTATGTGACAAATTTAAAATAGGCCACATTGAGTTGCTTCAAGCCATTGTGAATACAACACTACACACATTAAAATGCTCAAGGATAAAAACACAAAGTCAACAGACTATTTTCCATTGTGGTCCTCCTCGTTATCAGATGGGCAAACTATACAACATACAGTATGTAATACAAATAAGCCTAAACATGATCACAAACACTGAACTAGATCAGCAGTAGACTAATTTACCTCTCCGTTCTTCTTTTTCTCATCCTCCTCATTCACACTCTTCTTGACTTGGACCCTGTCCCTGCTCACGTATCTCTTGGCTGCTGTCTGCTTTGGCTTACTTGCCACACTGCCCTCTTCTCCTCCGTTTTCATCACCTCTTTCCTCCTTTCTTCCTCCTCTTCATTATCTCATCATCTCCCATAGGTCAGTATCCACCTTCATCAGGCAGATCTCCCAGATGTACTTCTTCACCTTGTTCCTTTGCATTTTTCTCCTCCAAAGCCTGAGCATCCATCTTGGCCACACCCTTGATCAGGTTTAATTCCTGGGTGACACTGATCAGCTTGGCCTTCAGATATGCCATCACCTGCTCAGCCTCCGAATTGAAGACAACCCATACCATCTCATCGGGGCATGGTGATAGATCCTGTACAGTTAGGGTCTTGAACTGAATGTGTTTCTTCACAACCTGCCTTCTGAACTTTGAAGCAGCAGGACGAGGGCTGCCCTCTGGTCTGACTGGCTGGAATGGATCCTTCTTGGCATCATTGTTTGGCACTCTGGCTCTAATGGGAGGCAGTGGCATCTTGGCGACTATTTTGGCTCCATGGACTGCCTTCAATGGCTTGGTGAAGTGGAGGTAGATGTCTTTCATCACCACACAGGTTTGATCCCTCTTGTTGCGGATGGGATGCAGTAGCTTCCGGATGGGAGGAACAGTAGCCTCCCCCGCTCTGCTGAGATGTTGGAGCTACATGCAGTCCTTGACTCTTCCCATTGCAGATGGCCTTCTTCCTCCAGTACTGGGATTCTGGAGAGTGAATGCGAGATGTGTAGAACCTTCTGGTTGAGGTCTGGAAGCCTCTCAGTGGCCTTGGGGTTGAGATGGTGTGGTAGGCTGAAGAGAGTTGTCACTGGCAGCACCAAGGTTCCCTGTTAAAGCATTATCTTCCTGTAGCGGCTGCAGGAATCTCCTCAGCATTAAGGAGATTGAAAGCAGCATCTTTTATCTGGTAACACTTTCTATATTTTATTGTGATTTACTGTAATAACTATATCTCAGGGGGATTCTGGTAGATTGGCTTGGTACTGGGTGTTTTATGTTCAGTAGTCAGTCACCAGAATGTTCAAATTGACATTTGGAATGTACTGATCAGTTGTGACATCAAATCAAATCAAATCAAATTGTATTGGTCACATGCGCCGAATACAACAGGTGCAGACATTACAGTGAAATGCTTACTTACAGCCCTTAACCAACAGTGCATTTATTTAAAAAAAATAAAATTAAAATAAAACAACAACAAAAAAGTGTTGAGAAAAAGAAGAGCAGAAGTAAAATAAAGTGACAGTAGGGAGGCTATATATACAGGGGGGTACCGTTGCAGAGTCAATGTGCGGGGGCACCGGCTAGTTGAGGTAGTTGAGGTAATATGTACATGTGGGTAGAGTTAAAGTGACTATGCATAAATACTTAACAGAGTAGCAGCAGCGTAAAGGATGGGGTGGGGGGGGCAGTGCAAATAGTTTTGGGTAGCCATGATTAGCTGTTCAGGAGGCTTATGGCTTGGGGGGTAGAAGCTGTTGAGAAGTCTTTTGGACCTAGACTTGGCACTCCGGTACCGCTTGCCATGCGGTAGCAGAGAGAACAGTCTATGACTAGGGTGGCTGGAGTCTTTGACTGTTCTGAGGGCCTTCCTCTGACACCGCCTGGTATAGAGGTCCTGGATGGCAGGAAGCTTGGCACCAGTGATGTACTGGGCCATATGCACTACCCTCTGTAGTGCCTTGCGGTCGGAGGCCGAGCAGTTGCCATACCAGGCGGTGATGCAACCAGTCAGGATGCTCTCGATGGTGCAGCTGTAGAATTTTTTGAGGATCTGAGGACCCATACCAAATCTTTTCAGTCTCCTGAGGGGGAATAGGCTTTGTCATGCCCTCTTCACGACTGTCTTGGTGTGTTTGGACCATGATAGTTCATTGGTGAAATGGACACCAAGGAACTTGAAGCTCTCAACCTGTTCCACTACAGCCCCGTCGATGAGAATGGGGGCATGCTCAGTCCTCTTTTTTTTTCCTGTAGTCCACAATCATCTCCTTTGTCTTGGTCACGTTGAGTGAGCGGTTGTTATCCTGGCACCACACGGCCAGGTCTCTGACCTCCTCCCTATAGGCTGTCTCATCGTTGTCAGTGATCAGGCCTACCACTGTTGTGTCGTCTGCAAACTTAATGATGGTGTTGGAATTGTGCCTGGCCATGCAGTCATGGGTGAACAGGGAGTACAGGAGGGGACTGAGCATGCACACCTGAGGGGCCCCCGTGTTGAGCATCAGTGTGACAGATGTGTTGTTACCTACCCTTACCACCTGGGGGCGGCCCGTCAGGAAGTACAGGAGCCAGTTGCAGAGGGAGGTGTTTAGTCCCAGGATCCTTAGCTTAGTGATGAGCTTTGAGGGCACTATGGGTGTTGAATGCTGAGCTGTAGTCAATGAATATTATTCTCGCATAGGTGTTCCTCTTGTCCAGGTGGGAAAGGGCAGTGTGGAGTGCAATAGAGATTGCATCATCTGTGGATCTGTTGGGGCGGTATGCAAATTGGAGTGGGTCTAGGGTTTCTGGGATAATGCTGTTGATGTGAGCCATGACCAGCCTTTCAAAAGCACTTCATGGCTACAGACGTCAGTGCTACGGGTTGGTAGTCATTTAGGCAGGTTATCTTATTGTCCGTGGGCACGGGGACTATGGTGATCTGCTTGAAACATGTTGGTATTACAGACTCAGTCAGGGCATGTTTAAAATGTCAAGTAAAAACACTTGGGCCCGGGGGGTCAGAAATGCTCGGAGTACAATCTGGAATCCCTTGGCCCCGCAGCCTTGGAATGTTTAAACCCGCTTTTAAAAATTTTACCTCATTTTGGGTACGGAGAGGGTGATACATAGGAAACCGGGAAAAGGGTGCTTCTGCATGCTTCGGGTTGCTTGCCTCGAAGCGAGCATAGAAGTGGTTTGGGTTTGTCGGGAAGTCTTGTGTTTAATGGGCCGCGGGTGTGCTTCCCCTTTTTAGGCTGTAATAGTTTTTTTAGCCCCGCCCCACTGGGCGAAAGGGCAGAGCCAGTTGGGAGTACGATTAAATCTAGTCATGTACTGACTCTTTTCCCGTTTGGGTGGTTTATTGGAGGGGATAGCGGGATTTCTTAAAAAGCGGCCGGGGGTTTGGTACCCCTTTCCTTTTAAAAAAGGAAAACTCACCCTTTTGCTCAGTGGGAGGTTTCCTGGAATCCTTGGGGGTTTTTGGTTGGGGTATGTTAAAATAGGGCACTGTGGGACGACGTCATCGATGCACTTTTTGATGAAGGGGCCGGGAAGAGGGGGTGTAATCCTCAATTTCTATCTGAAAAATCCCGGAAAATGTTTTCCCGTTTGGCTAGCAAAACAGTTTCCGTAGCTTAAACATCTGCGTCATCTGACCCCTTTTTTATACCGAGTCACTGGTGCTTCCTGCTTTAGTTTTTTCTTATAAGCAGGAATCAGGAGGATAGAGTTATGGTCAGTTTGGCCAAATGGAGGACGAGGGAGAGCTTTGGTATGCGTCTCTGTGTGTGGAGTAAGGTGGTCAAAAGTTTTTTTTCCTCTGGTTGCACATTTAACATGCTGGTAGAAATTAGGTAGAACTGATTTAAGTTTCCCTGCATTTAAGTCCCCGGCCACTAGGAGCGCTGCCTCTGGATGAGCGTTTTTTCCTGTTCACTTATGGCCTTAAACAGCTCATTCGGTGCAATCTTAATGCCAGCATTGGTTTGTGGTGGTAAATAGACAGCTATGAAAAATGTAGATGAAAAACTCTCTTGGTAAATAGTGTGGTCTACAGCTTATCATAAGATACTCTACCTCAGGCGAGCAAAACCTCGAGACTTTCCTTAGTATTTGATTTTGTGCACCAGCTGTTGTTTACAAATATACACAGACCGCCACCCCCTTGTCTTACCGGAGTCAGCCGTTCTATCCAGCCGATGTAGTGGTATAGCCCTGCTAGCTGTATGTTGTCCATGTCGTCGTTCAGCCACGACTCGGTGAAACATAATATATTACAGTTTTTTAATGTCCCGTTGGTAGGATAACCGTAATCTTAGGTCATCTAATTTATTTTCAAATGATTGAACATTGGCTAATAGGATTGATGGAAAGTGGCAGTTTTACTAGCTCGCTGTCGGATCCTTACAAGGCACCCCGACCTACGTCCACGATATCTCCGTCTCTTTCTCATGCGAATGACGGGGATTTGGGCCTTGTCGGGTGTCTGTAGGATATCCTTCGTGTCCGACTTGTTGAATAAATCATCTTCGTCCAATACGAAGTGAATAATCGCTGTCCTGATATCCCAGAAGCTCTTTTTGGTTATAAGAGACGATAGCAGAAACATTACGTACAGAATAAATTACAAATAACGCGGAAAAAACACACATAATAGTAAAATTGGTTAGAGGGCTGTAAAACGGCAGCCATCTTCTCCAGCACCATTCTATTCTCCGGTGCCATTCTACAATGTAGAAAATAGTAAAAATAAAGAAAAACCCTTGAATTAGTAGGTGTGTCCAAACTTTTTGACTGGTATTGTAATTTTTATAATTTTTTGGTCTTAGTATGTGTTTTCACCGCTCAACACTTAGGGTGGTTCACAAACGCTAAGAGACACCTTAATTGGTGAGTAACGAAGAAAAAAGGAACCCCTGCACTAGAGAGCAATATATTGTTGGGTCATGGGTCACTTGTCAAATCAAATCAAAAAATGTTGGTCACATGCGCCGAATACAACAGGTGCAGACATTACAGTGAAATGCTTACTTACAGCCCTTAAACCAACAGTTCATTTATTTTTAACAAAAAAGTAAAAAATAAACAACAACAAAAAAAGTGTTGAGAAAAAAAGAGCAGAAGTAAAATAAAATAACAGTAGGGAGGCTATTTACAGGGGGGTAACCGGTGCAGGTCAATGTGCGGGGGGCACCGCTAGTTGAGGTAGTTTGAAGTAATATGTACATTGGGGTAGAGTTAAAGTGAACTCTGCATAAATAATTAACAGAGTAGCAGCAGCGTAAAAAGGATGGGGGTGGGGGGGCAATGCAAATAGTCCGGGTAGCAATGATTAGCTGTTCAGGTGTCTTATGGCTTGGGGGGTAGAAGCTGTTGAGAAGTCTTTTGGACCTAGACTTGGCACTACCGGGTACCGCTTGCCGTGCGGGTAGCAGAGAGAACAGTCTATGACTAGGGTGGCTGGAGTCTTTTGACATTTTTGAGGGCCTTCTCTGACACCACCTGGGTATAGAGGTCCTGGATGGCAGGAAGCTTGGCCCCAGTGATGTACTGGGCCGTACGCACTACCCTCTGTAGTGCCTTGCGGTCGGAGGCCAAGCAGTTTGCCATACCAGGTGGTGATGCAACCAGTCAGATGCTCTCGATGGTGCAGCTGTATAATTTTTTGAGGACTTTGAGGACCATGCCAAATTTTTCAGTCTCCCCGAGGGGGAAAGGCTTTGTCGGCCCCCTTCACGACTTCTTGGTGTTTTGGACCCTGATCCGGTTTTCCCGGGGTTTGGTGGGATGGGGGTGGGGTTCTGGGATAATGCTGTTGATGTGAGCCATGACCAGCCTTCAAAGCACTTAATGGCTCCAGCCGTTCCAGTGCTACGGGTGGTAGTCATTTAGGCAGGTTATCTTATTGTCCGTGGGCACGGGGACTATGGTGTGATCTGCTTGAAAACATGTTGGTTTACAGAACTCAGTCAGGGACATAGTGAAAATGTCAGTTAA